TCTAGAAAATAGAGATTTTATAGGAGTTAGTACACAAATGAGATCGTATATGAAGTTTAAATAATTACTCTTTGGAAAGTTAGATATGATGACCATGTACCATCAAAATATTTTAAGATTACATTAATGTACATTCAGAAAGTGGTTTGGTATTTTTAAAGATCACTAAAGTGTCTACAAATTATTGGTAGCATTTATCAAAAAAATTCAATTGTTTTAAAGGTGTTAACCCACATATCTCAAGAAAAATTAGAATTTTTTTCATTTTTGTTTTAATTCATATTATCATCATTAATTGACATATTATGTATATTAAAGAGGTTTGCGACCTTATTTGTTCTCGTTTCTCTTGAAAATAGAGTTTTTATTTGGGTTAGGACATTTATTAGATCGTATATCAAGTTTAAATAAACTATGCGTTGGAAATTTAGAAATGATGACCATGTACCATGAAAATATGTTTAGCCTACATTAATATACATTGAGAGTGTGGTTTGATATTTTTAAACAACACTAAAGTGTTTAAAAATTGTATATAGCATTTATCAGAAAATTCAAATTTTTCAAAGGGGTTAACCCACATATTCAAGAAAAATTAGAATTTTTTTTATTTTTGTTTTACGGCATATTTTCATCATGCTCTGACAGATTATTAATATTAAAGAGGTTTGAGAACTTATATGTTTCCATTTCTCTAGAAAATAGAGATTTTATAGGGGTTTTGACACTTATTAGATTGTATATCAAGTTTTAAAAAAACTATGCATTGGAAATTTAGATATGATAACCATGTACCATGAAAATATGTCTATCCTACATTAATATACATTGAGAGTGTGGTTTGGTTATTTTAATCAACACTAAAGTGTCTAAACATTATAGTTAGCATTTATCGGAAAATTCAATTTTTTTCAAAGGTGTTAACCCACATATTTCAAGAAAAATTCGAATTTTTTTTATTTTTGTTTTAATACATATTTGCATCACTAACTGACATATTATGAATATTAAAGAGGTTTGAGACCTTATATGTTCTCATTTCTATTGAAAATAGAGATTTTATTGGGGTTATGACACTTATTAGATCGTATATCAAATTTAAATAAACTATGCATTGGAAATTTAGATATGATAACCATGTACCATGAAAATACGTTTAGACTACATTAATATACATTGAGAGTGTGGTTTGGTTATTTTAATCAACACTAAAGTGTCTAAACATTATAGTTAGCATTTATCGGAAAATTCAATTTTTTCAAAGGTGTTAACCCACATATTTCAAGAAAAATTAGAAATTTTTTTATTTTTGTTTTAATGCATATTTACATCACTAACTGACATATTATGAATATTAAAGAGGTTTGAGACCTTATCTTTTCTCATTTCTCTTAAATATAGAGATTTTATTGGGGTTAAGACAGTTATTAGATCGTATATCAAGTTTAAATAAACTATGCGTTGGAAATTTAGATATGATTACCATCTACCATGAAAATACGTTTAGACTACATTAATATTTATTGTGAGTGTGGTTTGGTATTTTTAAACAGTACTAAAGTGTCTAAACATTATAGGTAGCATTTATCGGAAAATTCAATTTTTTCAAAGGTGTTAACCCACATATTTCAATAAAAATTAGAATTTTTTTTATTTTTGTTTTAATGCATATTTACATCACTAACTGACATATTATGAATATTAAAGAGGTTTGAGACCTTATATTTTCTCATTTCTCTTGAAAATAGAGATTTTATTGGGGTTAAGACAGTTATTAGATCGTATATAAAGTTTAAATAAACTATGCGTTGGAAATTTAGATATGATTACCATCTACCATGAAAATACGTTTAGACTACATTAATATTTATTGTGAGTGTGGTTTGGTATTTTTAAACAGCACTAAAGTATCTAAACATTATAGGTAGCATTTATCGGAAAATTCAATTTTTGCACATATTTCAAGAAAAAATTGAAATTTTTTTATTTTTGTTTTACGGCATATTTTCATCATGATCTGACATAGTATGAATATTAAAGAGATTACCTTATATGTTCCCTTATATCTATAAAATAGAGATTTTATAGGGGTTAGTACACAAATTAGATCGTATATGAAGTTTAAATAAATTGCTCGTTGGAAAGTTAGAAATGATGACCATGTACCATGAAAATATTTTTATCCTACGTTAATATACATTGAGAGTGTATTTTGGTTTTTTTAAACAGCACTAAAGTGTCTAAATATTATCTAGGTAGCATTTATCGGAACATTCAATTTTTTCAAAAGTGTTTACCCACATATTTCAAGAAAAATTAGAAATTTTTTATTTTTGTTTTAATGCATATTTGCATCACTAACTGACATATTATGAATATTAAAGAGGTTTGAGATCTTATATTTTCTCATTTCTCTTGAAATAGAGATATTATTGGGGCTAGGACACTTATTAGATCGTATATCAAGTTTAAATAAACTATGCATTAGAAATTTTGATATGATTACCATCTACCATGAAAATACGTTTAGACTACATTAATATTTATTGTGAGTTTGGTTTGGTATTTTTAAACATCACTAAAGTGTCTAAACTAGGTAGCATTTATCGGAAATTTCATCTTTTTCAAAGGTGTTAACCCACATATTTCAAGAAAAATTAAAAAAAAAATTATTTTTGTTTTACGGCATATTTTCATCATGATCTGGCATATTATGAAGATTAAAGAGGTTACCTTATATGTTCCTTTTTATCTAAAAAATAGAGATTTTATAAGGGTTAGTACACTAATTAGTTCGTATATGAAGTCTAAACAATACTCGTTGGAAAGTTAGAAATTATGAACATGTGCCATGAAAATATGTTTAGCCTACATTAATATACATTGAGAGTGTGGTTTGATATTTTTAAACTGCACTAAAGTGTTTAAAAATTAGATAGCATGTATCAGAAAATTCAATTTTTTCAAAGGGGTTAACCCACATATTTCACACCCAAAAGCTAGCTAAAGAGTGGAGGATTTCCCATACACTTATATATTGCCCAAGGACCACATTTGTGTCCGATGTGGGATAATTTAATACAATATCTTTTGTAAATTTTGAAAGAAGACCTTTCTGAAATTGAAGACTTGACCTCCATCTACGTATGTCATAAGAGAGTATTGATTCTCGAGGATCTTGCCAACTCCATGGATCTGCAAAACTGCTCCAGAATCTAATTTCCTAAGTCGTTTCAAAACGCACAAGGTGATTCCTTGCCAGAAGAAGAAGCCATAGTCACAACCCAGATAATTCTATTCTTGCCTATCTTCTCCAGCCCGTATCTTGGAACAAAGAATAAATATGATCTTGACTTATGCGCGGGTCTTACACCGTCTGAGAATGACCTCTCGACGGAAGAGCATGCAGCCACGGTGGAAATCGCGTCGTCGGGAAATTTGCGAGGGATTGTAGAAGCAAGTGGACCCGTAGATAATCGGATATATACTGTGGGTCATCAGGATTCTCACCACGGGTGAAAACAGAGACAACATTGGATTTGAATCGTACAAACTCAAAATCTTTCTCGGGTTTCTTGCAATCGGTGGGGAGATGTTGAGAAGAGTATAAACAAAGACTGATGTATCAGAAAGACCATGTATTTCAGCAAAATATGTTGAGGCAAGGACATCTCGTTTATTACAAATTTCATACCGAGTCTCCATGGAAGAATAACTCACGGTCTGTTTTTGCTCTGTTTTCTTGATACATATAGTGGAAACGAGAAACAACTCTTTTTAAAAAAACAGAGAAAATGAATTGTGGTAAATACAAATGAAAATAACACTTAAACTTCCCAGAGTGAGGGTCGGTTATATGAATTACCCAGTTCAGGTTTGGTTTGATTTGAGTGCTGTTGAGAGATGATTTGAGTGATAAATATACAACTTTGATCCGGTCAATCATGTTCAAATCTATTGTTGACTAACCAGATTAGTTAACTCTCTTGGAATTAACTTTTGCCAGACAAAATTAAACCGTATTGATTTGAGCTCATCATCATACCATACTGCATGTTTGTCCCAAAATGTGATTACAAGATTTTGGTGTCCGATGCAGTTTTTACATTTTTTTAAAGAAAATGCTAGTTTGGATTGAAATATGAACATTTGAAAATTTTGACAGACTATTTGATTTTACAATTTTAGCTAACAAATGTTATTTTGGGGTTACTAGAATTTGCAAGTTTTCCATTCATACAAGAAAATGTGATTGCACAGTTTTTGAATAAGTATGCAATTTAGTAGTTTTACTTTAAATGTGATTTGTGGTGTTAGGAAAAAATGTGTTTTCACTTTTGCGTCTAAAATAATCCTTTTCACGGTTTTAGCTTATAAATTATAATTTCAACTTTTGTGGAATATCTGATTTTGTGGATTTGAGGGACGTTTGTTGTTTAACAGTTGATTTTTGCATGTCAAAGCAGAAACACATGAACATCATTATTATCAAAGAATTCATTGCTAATCTAATAGAAATGATTAGGTAGCTAATCAATGTTTATCATGGTTTAATGGACCTCTATAGATTATCAGTATTTGTAGACACACACCACCGACTGCTGCTACCTCTTATCTTTACTCAAATGACACTTTAAATCACCTAATTATTAAGGTTTATCAAGGGAAATTTGAAGTAACAAAAGAATGTGAACCCGAATTGAGACATGCTCACTAGACTAATATGGTAACAATTTCACTGCATGTAGAAATTCCATTACAAAGCTCTAGCAATTATAATCTTCTAAAAGAAAATTATAAACAAATGAATATTAAAAGATTAAATAGATCCATAGAGTATTGTCCTAATCCATCTAAACAAGAAGGATACTTTTGCAGACCCATCATATTGTTTTGGAATAGAGAAACGTATTACTTGCTTATTCAAACAAGCAGAGTACAAAGATCTCTTAAAATAGATAGTTTGTCACACACTCATAGCCGTTTATTCTCGACTTCCTTCATCTACTTGAAAAATCCAACATCGTTATATTCAACTCAGGAGAAGAATCACGTTCTTGCTCCAGTTTAGGAACCGTGTAATGAAAACCAAAGAACCATTCCACTGTTTTCGCCGGTTTTTGGAGCTCAGGCACATGAACGTCTGACCTATTATTACATATGGATTCGATCTTAGCATTGACAGACGCAGACAAGGTCTGTTTATAATCCCCACGACGAACAATGTCTGGGAAGTTGAGACGAGTATTGTCTCCTCTCATCTTATGAGCTGCTTGATCGTATGCTAATGCAGCTTCTTCTGCGGTTTTGAACGTACCAAGCCATAACCTGGTTCGGTGTTTAGGCAACCGAATCTCAGCAACCCATTTGCCCCAGTGCCTTTGTCTAACGCCTCGGTATAGTTTAACCGGTCTTTTTACGCCGGTTTTCTTCATTGGAGTTGGTTTAGCACCACGATGGCGAGCTTGGTTTTGTCTGAGGTGCAACTCTCTTTGAATTTCAAGGATTTGAGTGTCAGTGAGTGGGTTTAGCCCAATTGGACCGGTTTGGTTATAGGTTAATAACGGTACTGGTTTTGTTACCTTCATGAACGGTTCGAGAGCTTTCATGAACTCTTCTGAGCAGCCATTCATGGTTGAAGCTTTTTCCATTTGTTGTTTGGTATAAAAAAAAACTTTTAGAGAAAATAATAGGAAGAAAAATTGACTAAACAAAATAAATAAATACACACACGAATGCTAAACAAAAATAGAAGATTTTTTTTGGTGTTTTGAAATATTATCGTGTGTTGATAGTCGACATATCTTTGGATTATATATGTGTTCGTTTCGACCACAAGGGTTGTATATTGTAAACACATTTTTAATATACTAAGCACAATTTGCCCTAGCAACATTTTTTTAACATAGGTTATTACAATAAAAGCATATATCTAAGAAAATAAGCCGCATCAAAGTAGAATATTATCAAACAAACGTGTTTGCTGGTTTGAAGCCAATTACCCCTTCTATATTTAAAAAGTAGAAGAAAGAGTCAGTTAACCAATACAAGTTGTGTTCAAAAAAAAAACCAATACAAAGTTTATGGAATATTAAAAGCATGCCCCTCGTATAAGATATTAATTAGTATACATCTTATATTAATATTTTAACTTTCTTTATTATATAATTAATCATTAAAACTAAATCATAAATATATTCCAGAAATTAATATCATCCACAATGATAGTAATTCATCAAAGCTACTCCCACTAAGAAAATAACAAAATTTTAAAAGTAGATAAAACCACTCAATAACTTTGGCAATGACTAAAGATAAAAAAGCTTGGAAATGACTGTAATTAACAAAGTGTCTAAAAAAGACTGTAGTTAACATATAGGATATTAGATTTTGAATGTTATATTTATTTTATTTGGAACGTAGACGTGTGCACACGATGTGTCCTCCTTTGATTTGACTTCAGGAAAAACGTGAATCTCTCGTGAATATTCTCTACTCTTTTAATTTCACGTTTTTTAAAGATATTTTATTTGAAATCCAGATATATTTTGTAGTAATCTGAAGTCTGAGAAAGAAACAAACGAATATCCCCCTATTATCAATGAATCCATTTTTTTTTGTAGTAATCCAGAGGCATGAATATGACTAGGTAGATAATCAATATTTATTAATTATTATGATTCAATGTACCTCATTAGATTCTCCGTACGAGTGGACTCAGCACACCTCTTAACTTTACTTAAATGACACTTTGAATCACCTAATTATTTAGGTTTATCAAGGGTCATTTGAAGTATTAAAAGGATGAAAAACCATATGAAGACATGCTCAAGAGACAATGAGATATGGTAACAACAATTCTTAAAGAACAGACAAATTGCTAAGAGAAGCAATAAACTAACAAGTAACAAAGATGCAATAATCGAATGACAATAGAAAGTTATGATACATACATGAGTTGCTTCAAAGGTTTACAGAGCCCTCCAAAGTTCAAACCAGTAATTTTTTTGAAAAAAACAACAGCAGTACCTAAGTGTTGTTCTGTTGAGGTGTTTTCGTCGCTCTCTCCAAATCAATCTTGCAATTTTCTCTCAACTCTTTCATGGTTACAAAGCTATCCTGCTGCAGAATATAAAAATAACAACGGACATCAAACAAACCACTTCACAGTGAGAACACTTGTGATGTTTTGTTCTGAAAATCTATTAGAAGCTCTGGAGGAGGAACTTACAAGGTGGCTGCTTTCACGAGCCAAGATACCCTCCATGTTAAGAAACAGAGATGTCCATTGACCCATGACATCAAACTCTACATTTGTTGAATTATTGGAGTTTTCAGATCCATAAACATCCGTTGGCCTTGCTTTACCATTCCTTCGGATTAAGCTACTAGCTTCTTTCTGGCTCTTCTTCAACACTGCAGTCAAAACACAAACTCATCATGAATTTACCATTATATGAATTGTGCAGTGTAATGAGAACACTTACCAGATAATCGACCTTTGATATCCTGGTAGTGAAGATCTGACCATATATACGCAGCTGAAAACATCCATTACATTCACAAACTAAGTTAACTATTGTTACCGAGAAAACAAAGAACATTACTAACAAAAACAAACACTGAATAATCAGACAACCTTTCAGGCAAAAGGAACAAGAGCATGATTTAAGCTCATCATCACCATCCATATCATGGTTTACCATCCCCATATTGTCAACAGCCGAACATCTGCTCATATTAAACGGCTTGATAGTCTCAGAACTAGGCAACCTGTCATCACTTACACAATTGCTTCTACTCAACACAGTCATTGTCAAGTCTTCAGTAACAGTAACAGGATCAGTTTGACTCGAAAAGTCAGCAACATTCGAGTCCTTCTCATCACACTCTCTCTGACTAAGTTCCACCACACCAATATCTACTGCATTGGTCTCACCCTGAGACTCTTTCACATCCAAATTCTCAGAATCAGCACCATTAACAACAGGTGAGTCACCATTGTTTACATCACTACAAGTCCTAGTACTCTCCTTGACCAAGTCGTCTACAACTAAACACAACCTCTTGGAAAACTTAACCCCTGAGCCTTCACGAGCAACGCTTTTACCAGCATCATCCCCAGATTTCAAAAGAAAATCACCCAGAATCGAGGAGATTCCTCTCTTGCTTGGAACATTAGTCATATCACACAAAGGGAGACGCGTTTCCTTGGACACTAAGCTGCAGCTATCTCCAGTCATCTTCACAAACCAAACAAAAACAAAAAAACAATTTAAAAAAAAAAAAAAAAAAAACTTTTCATTTCCAAATTTAAAATCTCACAAAACCCATATCCCAAAATCAAATTCAAACAAAAACCCTATAATTCACCGAAACCCTAATCGAAAACTTTCAATTGGGAATCGGAAACTGAAAGTAATACTACGAAATGAATAGGTTAAAATGAAAAGGGAGTTAGGGTTACTGACCAATGGATTAGTGGCATCTGTTCGAAGTCTAGGAATAGAGATGAGAGGAGCCTACGGTGGTGTCGGAGTTAGGTGAGGGTAGGGTTTTTGGAGAGGTGGTTGAGGCGGGAACCTGTGTGCGGATCTTCCGACCTTAAAGCAGAGATTTCTTTTGACCCGCGTTTCGAATTTTACGATTTTTTGGCGTCCGACTCGGGAGTCGCGCGCGGTCCCGCATCTCTTAATGGGCCTTTATTACTTTAAGCCCATTCATATGCCAGGCCCAAACCGTATCTGAGAGCGATGGGTGCATGTAATCCTGAGCGTTTTATCCGAAAACCGAACCAAAAAAACCGACACTGGAACAACAATTACAAAAATCCGAACGGTTTCTATTTTTCTATATCTGAAAAACCGAAACGAATGGAGACTCAATCAAAAACCAAACAAATATCCAAAAAAATTTAAAATATTAATTATTTTTAGTTTTAATATATATATTTCACACTAAAAATCCGACCCGAATCCGACATTACCCAAACCGATCCAAAAAATTCACGGTTCCTAAACACTTCAATCCTAATAACCCAAAAACCGAATAATTCGAACCGAATAAACCGAATAATTTCTTTTGACCCACATTTCGAATTTTACAATTTTTTGGCATCCGACTCGGGAGTCGTGCGCGGTCCCACATCTCTTAATGGGCCTGATGGAATTAAAGCCCAATATTATATCAGGACCAAACTGTATCTGAGAGCGATGGGTGTATGTAATCGTAGGCATTAATCCGAAATCCAAAAACCGAATCGAAAAAATCGACACATTCGGATTAAAATTACAAAAATCCAAACGGCTCCTATTTTTCTAAACCCAAAAAACCGAAACTGAACCGAAAACCAAAAGGATACCCGAATATCTTAAATATAATAAAAATATTAATTAGTTTTAGCTGTAATATATATAAAATGTAATTATTAAATAAAAAATATCTTAAAACCTGAATTATTCAAGTATCTTCCGGGTTTAACTCAATTTTTTTATTTTTTTTTATTTTTGCTTTTAGGCTTTAAACTTGAACTAACCCCGAACTTATTTCTAATCTGATTCCACTTTATGTTTTATAAAAAAAATAGAAATCCAACCCGAACCTGACATTATCCAAACCGATCCGATTCAAAAATTTTCCGGTTCCTAAACAGTTTCTAAACACCCCAACCTGAATAATCCAAAACTTGAATAATCTGAACCGAAAACCGAATGGCTAGCACTAGTGCATGTACTACATACATCCTACTTGAAGATGACGACATCAATCTATAGATAGATAAAAAAAATCCTCGAAACGCGCGCCAAAGTGTTATCCACTCATAACCGAACACGTCATCTTTGACTTTCAATCCACGTCACCTCCCTTGCCGTGAAAGCATCCACTTTAAAAACCGCATGATTGTTTACAAAATTTCGATATTTTCCGATCAGATGGCGAAGGAAGAAGGATTCTCCGATCTAACCGCCGCGAGGCGGATCCAGCGATTATCTTCACACATCTCTCCCTCGTCAACGCCGCCATCATCGCTACCTCAGGTCCAGACGGAGATTTGTTCTTCCCGGACGAAGAAGGCTGTGGATGTGAACAGCCAGGCGCTATCTCTGTACATGAGGGGGAAACACATGGACGTGCAGGAGAAAGTGTACGAGTTCTTTAATTCGCGTCCCGATTTGCAGACGCCGATCGAGATCTCGAAGGACGATCATCGGGAGCTGTGTATGAGGCAGCTGCTCGGGCTGGTGAGGGAAGCTGGGGTGAGGCCGTTTCGGTACGTTGCGGATGATCCTGAGAAGTATTTCGCGATTATGGAAGCGGTTGGGAGTGTTGATATGTCTCTTGGGATCAAGCTTGGTGTTCAATACAGGTTAGTAGTTTAGAAGGAAAAAAATAACTGGAAATTTTTTAATGAGAAATTTAATTTGGAGATATTTGGTTAAGTATTGTGTCATGGTTATATTAGTATTGATGAGAACTCTGAATGTTGGAGATTTGTAGTTTGGTATGACTTTTTGTGTTAAACAATGTTCTAAAATTCGATCTAGGCGGCACATACTAATACTGTAGTCATAGCCGAAACAATTTTCTTAAAATCTGATTTATTTGACTCGAATTGATTTAAACCATTACTAATAGGTAAAAATTAACTGAAATATTTTAATGAGAAATTTAAGTTGGAGATATTTGGTTTAGTATTGTGCTTGATGAATGTTTTGATCTTGGTTCTATTTATCTTGTTTTGTACAAGATTATCTTAGTATTGATAAGAACTCAGCTGAATGTTGGGGATTATAGTTTGGATTGTCTTTTTTTTTTTTAAACAATGTTCTAAAATTCGGTTTAGGTAGCATATAAGGTAGTCATAGTCGAAACAAATTTCTTAAAATCCGATTTATACAACTCAAATCGATTAAAACCGTACTAATCGGTTAAAACTAATTTAGAATTATCGATAATAGTTTTACAAATCCAAAACTTATTTCTTTTGTTTTGTAGATCTAATTTGGATAATATATCAAAATAATTTTATAATTAAAGCCGAAGAGCTAAAATATCTAATATAAATTTAAAATATATATGTAATAAATCAATAATTAGTTAATGCCTAAACTCAAATAATTAACTAGTGCTCTAACCCCTAAAAATTCTTGAACATTGGTCTTATACTTGTATGTATAGTCTTTGGGGAGGATCTGTGATTAATTTGGGAACGAAGAAGCATAGAGACAAGTATTTTGATGGCATTGACAATCTCGACTACACTGGTTGCTTTGCTATGACTGAGCTCCACCATGGTGAGTGATTAGTCACTAATGACTAATAATGCTGCATATGTGTGTGACATAAGTTTACTAACCTTTTGGTTTTGTGTTTGTTTGCCTCAAGGATCAAATGTTCAAGGTCTCCAGACCACGGCCACGTTCGATCCCATCACAGACGAGTTCGTGATCGACACACCTAACGATGGAGCCATTAAATGGTGGATCGGAAACGCAGCAGTTCACGGAAAGTTCGCCACTGTTTTCGCTAGGCTCATACTTCCAACACATGATACCAAAGGAGTCTCAGACATGGGTGTTCACGCCTTCATAGTTCCCATAAGGGATATGAAAACTCACCAGACCTTACCAGGAGTTGAGATTCAAGATTGTGGACATAAAGTTGGCCTTAATGGTGTGGACAACGGTGCATTGAGGTTCCGTTCTGTGAGAATACCACGTGACAATCTTCTCAATCGGTTTGGAGATGTGTCCCGTGACGGGAAGTATACAAGCACCTTACCAACGATCAATAAAAGATTCGGTGCAACACTTGGTGAGCTTGTAGGTGGAAGAGTTGGTCTTGCTTATGCATCTGTTGGCGTTCTTAAAATATCCGCCACGATTGCTATTCGTTACTCTTTACTAAGACAACAGTTTGGTCCTCAAAACCAACCTGAGGTTAGTATTCTTGATTACCAGTCTCAACAACACAAGCTCATGCCGATGTTGGCATCCACCTACGCATACCATTTTGCAACTGTGTACCTCGTGGAGAAATACTCAGAGATGAAGAGGACTCACGATGAGCAGTTGGTTGCTGATGTCCATGCTCTCTCTGCTGGTCTCAAATCTTATATAACATCTTACACCGCCAAGTCGCTCTCCGTCTGTAGAGAAGCTTGTGGAGGACATGGTTACGCAGCTGTTAACAGGTTTGGAAGCTTGAGAAATGATCATGACATTTTCCAAACGTTTGAAGGAGACAACACTGTGCTTCTGCAACAGGTAAGAAACTTTATTTCCATCTTGTCCTGAGAGAGAATAATTATGCTTATAGTGTTTTGGTTTGTTTCTTGTAGGTGGCAGCTGATTTGCTGAAGAGATATAAAGAGAAGTTCCAAGGTGGGACATTGACAGCTACGTGGAGTTACTTGAGAGAGTCAATGAACGCGTATTTGTCTCAGCCAAATCCTGTTACAGCTCGTTGGGAAGGTGAAGATCATCTAAGAGATCCTAAGTTCCAACTAGATGCTTTCAGGGTGAGTTAGTGTTGACTCTATATATTTGCCTTCATCTTTATCACTCACTTAACATGTCATCTCCTCAGTATCGAACATCGCATCTCCTACAAAGTGTTGCAATGAGATTGAATAAACACACCAAGACACTTGGAAGTTTTGGCGCTTGGAACAGATGTTTGAATCATCTCTTGACACTTGCTGAGTCTCACATTGAATCAGTCATTCTCGCCAAATTCATTGAAGCTGTTCGGAAGTAAGTAACAAACATTAAATCAAATCTTCCCCTTGCAAATCAATTCCACATTAAATAAAATAAAAAACGGTCTGTTTCTTCAGGTGTCCGGACCGAAAAGCAAAAGCTGGTCTGAAACTAGCATGTGATCTTTACGCATTGGATCGAATATGGAAAGATATAGGAACATACCGTAACGTGGATTATGTTGCGCCTAACAAAGCCAAGGTTTGTTTGTTGATTGTTGTTATAAATCAATGATTTCTTCTTGATTAAATGGTTGGTTACACTTTAAATCTTTTTGCAGGCGATTCATAAGTTGGCTGAGTATTTGAGTTTCCAAGTAAGGAATGTGGCTAAGGAGCTAGTGGACGCTTTTGACCTACCTGATCACGTTACTCGAGCGCCAATTGCTAGGCAGTCTGATGCCTATGCACAGTATACTCAAGTTGTTGGATTCTAAAATAAAGGTGAAAGGGAAAAAAATTGAATAATCTCCTTCGAGTCTTTTTGATACGAAGTGAGAATAACAATTTATAGTATTTGTTGTCTTTTTTTTGTTATGTTTGTTTTGTGTATTCGTTGCTATTTGTTACCCACATGGGAATACAAATCAAGTAAGAAAACATTGAACTTGATTTGTTAATCAATAAGCTAAGCTTTCAGACCTATCTTGTAAAAATATCCATATGTCCTGATCACACAACTGATGCAGACTATCAAAACACTAGACCACAATGAATCAATGAATTTTTTTAAAATGGTGGTTAACAATCTATGAGTAAAAAAATATCAAGAAACACTTCCTCATCCAAGCTTTCATATGAATATTATTATGATAAGTGCATGCATATCTACCACAACGTCAAAACAGTTTAGATGTTTGACACCGACTTTTATTGTAAAAAAGCGTGGGTAAAACGTGGTGATCGTAATGTATAAAATGCAGAGGTCATAGAATCCCTAAAAATCCTTCACAAACATCCAAACTATCATCAAAACCGTCCTCTCATTTTCTTTACTGACCTAGTCTGTCTCCAACTTCACTCCAGCTTTATATCTTCATATGATCTTTTATAAAATTCAGTGGCAACAACCATATTACAACTACTTCTGAAGTATCCACCGCTCTCTTTTCTTTAATAAAAATAAAAAAACATTTGCTCATGCATGATGTAGATTTTTCTCATGAACTCGCGCGATTTTAGGTCTCAAAATTGTTAATTCCCGAAGGCAACTCTTAACCACATAATCATAAACGTTATTTAATCTTAGCCGAATATATACAACGTTACTTTATATTATATTGCTTACTTAGGACATGCAATTCAGTTCAGACAAGACGAGCAGATCTCGACACGACTGTCTCCCAACATTGACACCTCCTGCTTTACATATTATATCCTTTTTTCGAAATTTTATCACGTAATATCTTACGTTATATGACACAAGTCTCACGTCACCAAAATCAATCACGTATAAAACCGTAACTCGACTAATCGCAAGGGATCATTTTGTGTTCCAAAACACATAAGAGGATTCTAATCATCATCATAAACTATACACTTAATAAAAAATGGTGGAGGTCCAAGACTTGGAACCACTTAGTCCCATTCAAGACGACGAAGAAGATGATTACCAAGACGAAGACGACGAACTCGACCGTCTCGGTGAACACATAAGCTACGACGACCTCAAGAAACGTATGTGGAAAGATCGAAACCTCATGTCCAAACTCAAACAGCAGAAAAAAGACAACCACGAACACTCTCCTCCCTCATCTTCCACGTCACCCTCCTCCTCATCAGCTATCATACGCCGAGCAGAAGCCTCACGCCGCAAGAAAATGGCACGATCTCAAGACTCTGTCCTAAAATACATGATGAAGATAATGGAAGTCTGCAAAGCCAGAGGATTCGTCTACGGAATCGTACCGGAAAAAGGAAAACCGGTAACCGGTTCATCCGACAGTTTAAGACGCTGGTGGAAAGAAAACGTTCAGTTCGACCAAACCGCACCAAACGCCGTTTCGGACTACTTAACGTTAGCAGCCGCTCAGCTAATCTCATCAACCGAGTCACTAGACCCGAACTCGTACATCCACATGCTCCACGAGCTACAAGACACGACGTTAGGGTCTTTACTATCAGCTCTGATGCAACACTGCGTGCCGCCGCAACGGCGTTTTCCTTTGGAGAAAGGTTTGGCTCCACCGTGGTGGCCGAAGGGGAATGAGTTATGGTGGGGAGAGCAAGGAGCGACTGCGTTTGAGCACGGTCCGCCTCCGTATAGGAAACCGCACGATCTTAGAAAAGCGTGGAAAGTTAGCGTTTTGGCCGCTGTGATTAAACACATGTCGCCTAACTTGGAGAGAGTGAGGAGGCTCGCGAGACAGTCTAAGTGTTTGCAAGATAAGATGATGGCTAAGGAGACTGATACTTGGTCTCGTGTGTTGAACCAAGAAGAAGCTCTCTTGAAACGTCTCAAGATCTCTGACGAGGAGGATCAAGAACCGGGTCAAGAACAGAACGGGAACAAGAGAAAAGGTGAGTTTGTGGAAGGGGAAGCAGCGATGTTATCTAACGTGTACACGTGTCAAAACGTGAGTTGTCCTTCGAGTGATGTGAGTTTAGGATTTGTTGACAAGAATTTAAGGACAGGACATGAGATGGAGTGTCTTTACGGGAGTCAAGAACCGGTTTACCAAAGTAGTGTTAGCTCTGATGGTTTTGTTCGGTCCGTGACAACTAGTGACGATGATTATAGTGCGAGTTCTAAAGGGAAGGATACTATAGATTATCAGAATCAAGATGGTAATTGGTTAGACTATCTCTGGTACGAGAGGTTACATGAATTTAATTTTTCTGATCAAGCAACCACGGTGGATTTAAACCAATTACCAGATCATTCTGATTCGAATCCGACCATAGCTGAGGAAGATTTTTCGTTATGGGACATGGGTTGTGAAGACAGAGATGTTTACATGTCTCAAGATTGAAACATCTCTCAACTTCAAAAAATATATATTCTCTAGTTACAATGTATTAAAAACAGAGGAATAACATTTTGTTGTTTGTTTAGAAGCTATACAAATCAAGAAATAATACTTTCTTTTTAATCAGTTTAAAAAAAAAAGAATGGGTAACAAATCTTTAGTCATAAAAACTATGTCTCTTTGGAGTGTCTATCTTCAAGATTGAAATATCTCTCAACTCAAAAAGTTATATTCTCTAGTTACAATGTCTTAAAAAAACAGGAAAAACATTTTGTTGTTGTTTGATCCAAAAGCTATACAAATCAAGAAATAATACTTTCTTTTTTAATCAGTTAAAAAAAAAAAGAATGGGTAACAAATCTTTAGTCATAAAAACTTTGTCTCTTTGGAGTGTCATCTTAACTGAAACATCTCTCAACTTAAAAAGTTATATTTTCTAGTTACAATGTATTAAAAACAGAGGAAATAACATTTTGTTGCTGTTTGATCCAAAAGCTATACAAATCAAGAAATAATACTTTCTTTTTAATCAGTTTTAACAAAAAGAATGGTTAAAAAATCTTTAGTCATAAAAACTATGTCTCTTTGGAGTGTCATCTTCAACCAATCTTGCAGCTGCACTAGAATAACCTTTCCTGAATCTACCTTTGTTCAGACTCTTCACATCAACTTCTATAGCAAAGATTGCACAAACCGGTCTGTGATCTGAAAACCGTGACTCTCCTCTTATGTAAGAAAGCTGTTCTATTCCTTCTCCTCTCCATAGAATCCGATCACACCTGAAAAAACATTCCACATTTAGGACACACCACACAAGATAAAAAATGTGATGTTAAGGTTTTAGATAGTATATATACCAAGCAGGAGTACGTCGTTTTTTCTTGGATTTTGTGGTTTCTCCTGCGTAAGCATCTGAGTTTTGAGTGTATTTATACGTTGGTGCAAAGAAGATTTGACCTTCTTGAAATCCTGAGAAGACTCTTCCTGCTCCTCTTTCCATGTTAAGCTGAGATTATTACATATCTCACAAGTAAGTAAACAGCAAAAAAAAGATTGTTTTAAATTTTAATAATCATTTTATATTTACAAAACCTGGTCTTTCTCAAGAAGAGTGTCCCAATCATTGTCTTCTAGTAACACTCTTGTCTCTTCATAGGTTAAAGCAACTCTGTAATTCAAATCTCCAAGCCAAAGCACTCGGCTGCAACATTCACAAAACAGAGTTTGTTAGTAGTTTTTAATTTGCTTGTGTAGAAAGAAAAGGCATGGAAACATTACTCATGATCAACGATCCTCTCTGGTGCGCGACAGTTAGGGTTCTTGGTGAGTTTAGGGAACTGAGTATGCTTCAGAATCTCAGCTACATCAGCATTTCTTCTCATCTCATCACCTTCTTTCTCACCAGAAGCCAAATGGCTACACACAAAGCAAAAGCTTGTTTGATGCAGTGACATGCTTATAGCAATACATCCCTTTAAAAAAAACACACAAAAAGTTAGTTTCCTTTTCTTGCTTGTGTCACAATCAATTGTTTTGTGTTTGTTACCTTGTTTCCCAAGCGACCCATGATACCTCTTCCAACAGAATCAAGTCTAAGATGAGAGATATGTGGAATCAACTCTTTTCTAGCCCAAACAGACAAAAACAAACCAACCATTTGCTTACTAGCAATCAATCTATAACTCATTTGTCCAGGCATCATCATCGTCGTCGCCGCGGAGGGAACAACCTCATCAAACAAGAAATTCTCATGAACCCTAAAATTCTCAGCCTCAACATTTCCATCTACAATAGGATCACTAAACCTTTTAGACCTCCTACCCTCCCAACCAACAGTAGTATTATTATCATTAACCGGACAATTACAAGTCTTCAAAAGACTCGAATCGACACGGTAGTTTCTACTCAAGACTTTGAGATTAGGTCTTTGAAAGAAACTTAAACTGCTCGGTGTTCTTGACTCTTCTGTACAGCAATTACTACTACTACAAGTTGCTGTTCTTGAGGCAGTAGAGAAAGCTGCGTTTGAGTAAACAGAGTCTTGTTTCGGTTTGTTTAAAGCTTGGCTTATAAGTGCTAACCATTTAGCTGCTGGCTCGTTGTCTTCAACTACTAATACGTTTCCTGCACTTAAAGGAACAATCTCTTGAAACCTGAAAAAAACATAGAGTTATAAGTAGATGTTATGTTATGTGATAAAACTTTATAAAGACCAATGAATCAAAGATTCATACCCACAGATGTATAAATCTGCTGTGCCTTCAACGAGTAAGAAGTCTTCTAGGTTTAGATCGTTGTTTGGTGTTCTTCCACCTACATTCCACGTTGCTAGAAACACCCTAAAATAAAGAAAAACAGAGATTTTTTGAATCTGAATATTACATAAATAGAGAGATTGATTTTGAGATTCTCACCTTAATTCACGAATCTCTGTGGTTGGTGCCATAGGCCTATCGAAACTTGATAGATTCAAGCCTTCAATTCCAGGGCTTGACTTTCTCTCTAACGAGTTTTACCAAAAAATTAAAGAAAATGTATCGCTTTCGTAATCATGTGAATAATGTCACAATTTTTCAAGGTAGGTTACCAAGAAAATAATAACATTAATCTCAACCACATATTATTGAAAAAAAATAGATCAAAGTATACCAGAAAGAGTCTTCCATATCATTGGAGAAGTGTTGTCAAGAATTGATTTCTTACGAGAAGCAAGTCTTCGTTCCAAATCTAACAAGCATGAAGATCCAAGAACCATTTTCAAAAATAATCTATTGTGTTCCTTGAGATGTACGTAAAAATAAATCGTTTAAAAGAATAAAATACCATTGAAGATTTTATTGTTGTCTTCGTGAAGATCATAACTTGTTTCTCTGTTGTTCATATCATTTGATGCATCTTCTTGTTTACCACATCTTCTTGATCCGAAAATCTTTGGAAGAATTGACTAATAACAAAGAAAAACAAATGTATTCAATTTAAAATATATATTGAATTAATGGGTTTCACGTCGTGACATTCTCAAAGAGAATCAAAAAGTAAAAAAACAATTGAAAGAGGGAAAGAGAGAAGGAACCTTCTTCCTCTTGTCGCTTCGGTGGCTGTTCTCAGAGTCGCTATCTCTATTGGAACTCATTCAGCGAAATCTTCTTAACACATAGAGATTAAAAAAAAAAAAAAGTAATTGGAAACAGAGGTTAAAATATTACATTAATCTGCGTGTTTTAAACATTAAACTGCGTGTTTTTTAGTAGATCTTGAAAATCGTGTGGAGAAGGACATTTAATTTTATTTTAATTTTTTTCTTGTTTCTAGGGTTTGATTTTCCCACGACTATTGAGTATTGTTTATATTTTGTACTGTATTAGATTTGTTAATGTTTTTTACTTATTAATTAGTAGTATTTTTGTGAGAAATTAATTAGTAGTATTTTCTATATCGGTTTTGAAAAGATCAGGTTTTGGCGCCAGCTCCTTCGGAGTATTAGGGAGATTTTAATAACAGAGTATGTGATTTGTGTACATGGAAGATAAAAATATGAATATATATATATATATATATATATATGAAAATATTTTCTTTGGTTACACAAATATTTTCTCAAACTCTCTTATCTTTTTTTTGAACAACTTTTTATTTTTTGAACAACCTCAAACTCTCTTATCTTATTCACAAGAAATAGTTTATATTACCAAATGGGCTGCTGCACGGGCCTCCGTTTAGTTACCAAAGTCGGTCCAAAATAACTAACTTGACCAAAATACCCTTGAAAGTTCCACGAAACAACGAAATTACCCTTCTTCTCTCCTCCGAGAAGAAACAGTCACTCTAAAACCTCACTATAATCGTCGCTTCTCCTCCGTCAAGCCGGCAACGGAAAAAAAAAAATCTGAGAAGGTCAGTTATGATCTACCGCTTCCGATGATAACCTACTGAGATCATCTCCTTCTAGATTCCTTCTATATTTTCCAGCAAATCGTAGTTTACTGTTGCTTCTCCTCTTCTTAGGGTTTATGATGTGATTTTTTTAACGGAATAATGTTTCGATTTTGCTTTGATCTCTTGCAGATTCGTATCTCAAACTCCGCTGATGGATTTCAACTCAGTTTTTCAATCTCTCGCGGAGTTATTTCCACAGGTATAATAAAGCTCTTATCATCATCATCATCATCATCATCATCATCATCATCATCATCGTTTCAATCGGTTTTGACTTGTAGTTTATATGATTGTAATGTATATGCGAACGATTGATCAAAGTAATAATCTCACGTTGCTAGATAGATATGGTTGATGAGCTTCTCTTACCTTTGTTTGGTGTTGTATTATCCTTTTTTTTGAATCTGTATGTCATGTGATTGATGAGAATCTGCAGATTGATGCATCTTGATTGATATGGTGATGAGCATCTTGATTGATGCTATGAATCTGTGTTTATGTAAATACATTTCTGTAGATTGATGCTATGAATCTATGTTATGTAAATACATTTGTGTAGATTGATGCTATGAATCTATGTTATGTAAATACATTTCTGTAGATTGATGCTATGAATCTATGTTATGTAAATACATTTGTGTAGATTGATGCGAGGATTCTAAGAACAGTTGCAAGGGAGCACCCAACGGATGCTGATGAAGCTGCAGCTGTTGTTATCTCTGAGGTTGTTCCTTTGTTTCCTCAAGAATGGGAAGTTCATCATCATCATGTTAATAAGCAAAGAAAACTCCATCACTTCAGCAAAGGTCTTTTACTTTTGCTCTACTCTCTTGACTCTTTGAGTATTATATCCTCTTTTTTCAATGTATATATATGCTTGAACTGTGATTAAAGATTGTTGTTTGAAAATGCAGTAGAGCCTGAGATGCAACATGAAGACGCGTTGTCTCAGTGGCTTCATCCATCTCATCTTCCACAGAGTTACCTTGCACTGCTCAACGAGGAAGAGAAAGATGATGAAGAAGAAGAAGAAGCAACACTTGATTACGCTGTGAAGAAAGTGGTTCTTCCGAGCCGTGATGACGCAGCAACTGGTGCACGACGAGAAGTCCGAACCATTTACTCAGCTTCTAACAAAACTGCTTCTTCAGTGGTGAAACCTTCTATTCGTGTACAAAGCCGCAATGAAGAACTCTCAGTAAGCATCTCAAAAAACACTGTCTTTGTTATTATCAAATCCTGAAAGTACTAAAGTAACATCTTTTTTATGTCAGGGAAGTAGCAGCAAGGTTCCTGTTGTGGCTGGACGATCCTCACGCAAGGCGGCGCACCAATGGTCCAGCTACTCTGAGGTCAAATCCATCGCGTTATTAAGCTCTTAGCTTTTTAAGAGCTAACTTTCTGTTTATTTTTTATCAGAAGCTGAGAAGTTGGAAGAAAAGAAGCATCAACCGTGACTTCTCATCACAGCTCCATGGCCAATGCAGAGATGTACCCTCGTGGCAATCTAACCAAAGCAAGCACAAAGGCTACATCACTGAGCGTGTACGAAGCCAAGACCGTGTTTTGTGATTCTATTTCTAACTGTTGTTTGATGTTATATATAAACCATTTGTTCTCTCTGAATTTTATCAGGAACGCAAGCAGCGAATTGATGACAACATCAAGGCGTTAGCGAAGTTGCTCCCACGTGAAGTTCAGGTATATTACTAAAACATTGCCATAATAGTGTTTTTACACCAGAGCCTGTGGCATATAAGTATATAACTCATCCTGAATCATGAGAGATTGAAACATAATGTATGTGACCTTGTAGGAGGAGAGCTCTGAAGTGATACTGAATGAAATTGTCGATCATGTGAAGCTTCTTCAGCTACAGATGAAGGTATTGTTTTGCTAGCCTTATGTAGAGTAAATAGCTCATGATGACCGAAAATTAAAATTGCCGAAAAACTTGCTGATGTGATATGTTGGGTTTAATATGTGATATAGGAACTAAGTCTAAGCAGGTTGGGAGGAGAACCAGTTTCTCATCCTATGACGTTCATTGAGGTAAATACAAGTGAACAACATTATATGAACCAAATGAATATGTTGAGAGATGCTTTGGTTTGTTTTTGGTATAGGGATTTGGTCACTACATTCATCACGAGGAGATGATGACAAAGCCTCTTGAGGAAATGATGGAAGATCTGCTCGCAAATGATCCTGATGCTGCGACTCGCTTGTTGGAGAGCAAAGGCCTTTACCTGATGCCTTTGTCCTCAGTTCAAGACTTTTGCTGAACCAAAACACATAAAAAAGATAGTGGTTAACGATAGTCTTACAAAGTTATTAGGACACTAGTTTGTTTGTTGAATCAATGGTAGTTTTCTCAACATACTAATTTTCAGTACATGTTGTTTAGCTACGTTTATGTTTTTGTTATTATATCCCGCAGAAAATCCAGAACTCATCTATATTTGTATGGTCCCAAATCGAACAAGAGCATAAAATCATGTTGAGAGATCTTTTACTAAACCGATATAATTAATGTTATTACTGGTTTAGTTCGGTTTTGTTGTTCAATTTAGTTTAAATAGTGTAAGGAGATTTTTTGGAAACTAGAAAGTAGTACGATTGGGCCGTGATCTGGACTTGAACCAATGAACCATGTGACAGCTAGCTAAGAGCCTAAAGAAAAGTCCTTTTCCAGCTTTCCACCCAAATTTTTTTTTTTTTGTTTTTTAATTTCTTTTTGGAAAATACAGTCTTGGCTCTTCAGAGCTATCTGGTGTCACTGTGATGTGTAAATAGTAAATACATATGTTCTCCTTTGTATAAGAAACAAACAGCTAAGTCCATTACAAAGGAATATGCTGTAACTTTTTCACTAAGGTAAATATGATCAACTAGCAATTAAATAACAAAACTAATAACTTTTGCCTTTGTTTCTTCAAGCTGAAGTTAGCAAAACTCTTATAAACACACCAATTTTATACGTTCAGACAAAACACACAAAGCCCTGTCTCCGAAGGTAAGCACAAAAGGGGATCGGTATCTTATTTGATGTATCATGAGCTTAAGATGTGTACTAGTTTCTTCATGGTTTACAAATTTGATAATTTATTTTACAATTTTTTTTTTTTTGCAACAAGATGTTGAAAAATCAGCAGCTTATGATGGTGGTTACTTGAGAAGCGGGAGAGTCTCCGGTGGGTTGTTGCCGGAGCTATATTCCAGTAACATTGCTCTTTCATCCTCTGTTTCTAGAAGCTCGTTCTCATTCCCCATCTGTAAGACATTTCTTTACATTTCTTTATTCTTGATACTAGACATTAATTAACAAGAAACCTAAATCTAAAAAAACATGGATTCTTGATTCTTTTTTTTTTCCATTTAAATATCATGATGAGCATCATCAATTTCCTTAAACTTTTATCTGTTAAAAACTTTCCACATGTGTTTTTCTACAGCTACAAAATATTGTCAAGAAAATTTAGTTTTTTTATATATAAATATTATGTATGCAAATGTATAAATATCTAGTGCAGTGCCGTAAGTGATTATTAGCTTCTAGAAGTATATTGAGATGGTACCTTTGCAAGCTGGCTAGCCAAAATCTGATTCTCGTCTCTCAACAGCTTCTCCTGTTTGAACAATAATATCACAACTCCATCAGTTTTCTAACAAGCTCCATGTTAAATTAATTATCAAGATTCCATCGACGTTTTTTTTGGATTATCAAACCTAGAGTTTCACACATGGTCTAGTCATGATCGAAAAAAAAAAACTATCTACAGAGATAAACATGGTCTAGTCATCTGTATACTCTAAGGTTAAGATGATTCGACAAATAAAAACCAACGAACTGACCTTTTCTTGAAGGGTTTTTACAAGATCATTCATTAGTTCTGTCTGAAACACAAGACATTGACGATTGTGTCAAACTGGCAGCAAATGATCCGAAGACTGTTCTTGAAAAATTAAGTAGACAATATACCTTTCTAGCTTTTGTTAAAGAAAGAGCAGTCTTGAACTGCTCTTCCAGTGAAATTAGAGACTCTATGCTTATATTATCAACTTTCGCTTCTTCAAGCTTGCTGTATATATATAGTCATAGATCAACAAAAAAAAGGGAAAAAAAAATTCCTTGATCCGAGGAAGATGTAAAAAGATGGAGTCTTAGTGCTAACCATTGAACTGTTTCTAGTAACTCCTTAAGTGAACGATAATTCTGAGTTTTCTCTGTAAGTTCCTGTCATGAGAAAAAGTAATCGGAATGGTCAGAAAAAGTGTGTTTCTTAGAGACACAAATGAGTCTAACCCTTAAGAATTATGTTTGGTATATATACGACAAGGTTTTAGAACCTTGTCGTAGACCTCTTCTAATACATCAGCGGTAAGTACCCACACCAAGTTTAGCTCTAAATATATGTCTTTGGTCTTGTGTTAGTTCCTAATTTCATACGAGCTAAGCTTCTAACCTAGCCGGACTACACAAATCATCCATATATAACAACCATCACAATATACAATAAGCTAGCTTCTAAACACATCATCCATATTATTATCTGTATGCATGTGTAACCACCCTAGCGAGCCGATATGCAATGATTTAAGAAAATCTTACCAAGTTTTTAAGCTCATCTGCATGTTGTACTCCGTAACGCTTGAGGATCTTGGCCATGCTGGAGAGATCAAGACAGAAACAAAAACTCATTATAAAGAGTCCATTCCAAAACCATTTCAAAACTACAGAACAAATATAACATTCATATAGAGACATGCTATATATAATTAAATAGCATCAATCTGTGATATTCCAAGTGCTTATGTTACTAAATTAACTACAATTTTGGTGACTAGCCATAATTTTCAGCTTCTATATAGAAGTAATAAAGTATCTCATAAACAATACATCTAAGGTTTTCTATCTATTTTCATAGGGGTATTTTCTGATAATATATCCATTATATATATTGTGATGGACTTCTTTAGTTTTGATGTTTCAGTACACGAGCTTGCCTTACATTTTAATATCAGTGCATATTTTTGGGTATATGTACTGCTTATAAAGTGGTTCAATATTAACAAAAAAAATATATAAATTAAAATTTTCCATTTCCAAGTTGTTGATATATATAATCTAACCTTGTGCCACTGAATCCATAACCACAAAGAAAGGTTTTGGACATGTATGCATAAGACATACAATTTTCATTTAAGACTTAACTACTTTCTTATCAAAGCTAAACAATGATCTACTTTTCTTATTATAAGAAACTAACCGCAGTCAGCAAAAGAATGACTGGATAAGTTGGTTGATAAAGACATTTCCTCTTGAGTCAAAATCTCAATGAAAATATTAGGATTTGAGCCCAAATCAAGCCCAAAAAAATACCAAGAAAACTAGCTTTATATGTACGTGAGATCCATTGCAAGATTTCAATTTCTAGAGTGAATTTGATTCACTTGACCTTGCATCCTAAGTTGTATGAAACCATGGAATCAATAACGCACATTAGAATGCAATCTCAATTCAAACACAGTTTGGTGTAGTTGCCAGTAAAATAAAGAAGCCAAGGAGCTACAACTAGAGTTTGAGTATTGTTAAAACTGAATCAACCAAAGAAATCTCCATCATTAGTCCTTCTATATTTTTGTCCAAAAAATCCTATATGGTGACAAAGGGTCACATTCCTATTTCTACAAGGTCTAACTTCCATTGATTGTTAAAGAAAAAAAAACAAGATCAAATTTACTCAACTAAATGATTGTAGACTTGAGTGGATCGAGGCTCAGTTTCTTTGGTCCATGAGATCCAATATATAACTGACAAAACAATTAAACGCATAACAAGAAGGAAAACAATTCAAGAAGAGAAAGAAAGGGCTACCGATTAATTGGAAGCATGCATCGTGTTTATATACAAGACAAAACTCACATTTTAAAGTGGAGAAAATCAATATCAGTTCGTCTTATTAATCATTTCAAAACACTAAATTGAAAGCCCAACGAAAAAAACCACTAAACAACAGAAAATTAAGACGATTTGATCCCACAGACAACAAAAATGTACGAATTACCACGTGTAGAACAAGTTCTTCAAGTACATGCAATACTACAAAAAAAAGCATAAAGAAAAAAAAAAAAAAATCCACGGTGACGAATTAAAACAATAAAAAACGAAAAACGAACACCAAGAACACCTCAGGGCATCACATTGTTTCATCCTAAATTTCGTTAAAATTACAGATCGATTATGCTCTTAGATTAAACAAGAAGATTGCTTCAAAGATTCAAAGTGGAGGAGCTAGCAAACCCTAGATTTCTAGCTTCTCTATTTTTCTTGAGACAATAAAAGAATCTACACAATAGTGTTACCTTTCGCCGGAGGAAGAGCTATAGACTTTTCCGGTAGATGAAACGATGAGAACAGCGACGGAGGACCCACAAAGAACTGAGAGTTGGCGAGCTTTCTCAATGAGACCATTGCGTCGTTTACAGAAAGTAACTTGTCGACTACTTTTGTTCTCAATTGGTTTGATCTCAACTTTTCTCCTTCCCATGACTTCTTTCTCCGACCAGTCTTATGCCCTAATTTGATTCTGATGTCTGAATGACTGGCCGGAGACACCTGAACGTGTTTTTTCTTTTATTAATTTCTTTTATTATTCCTTTTTTGGGGGATGGAGCAAACTTCAATAGTATGTATGTTCGTTCCCTTTTTGTTTTGCTAAACGAGAGAGATAAAATGCCAAAAGAGGATAAAAATGTTAAACAAAAGCGTTATAGTCGAGTTTAGACTTTAGACACGTATTAACGCATGTCGAGTTCCCTAACGTCGCGTTATTTTACTCTTTCTATTAGAATCTAAGTTATTATCTCTTCGTTTTTTGTTGCTTGGTAAAAATATCTTCTTCTATAATAATGACAAAAGAAGAAACTCAAATATGCAATGAAACCTATATATCTATCAACATATGGCGTTTCTTACACTTAAAAATTTTCACAAGGGAAAAAAAATTCACAAGGGGGAAAACATTTCAAGAATACAAGTGTAAAAAAAAAAAATTCTCAAAAAAAGAGAATACAAGTAAAATTAAGTTTAAATTTTTATGAAAACCATAACAGTTATCAAATCAATAATGTTTTTAAAACCTGACCCGTAACTGAACCATAAATTTTTTAAATCATAAGTTAATATAGTTTGATCGAGTTTAATTAGGTTTAACCAAAATTAATTAAGTGAAATCATATAACAAAAATAGAATTAAATCTAAATGTTTTGTTAGTTATCTTCAATAATAAAAATAATTAACTTTATTTATTAAAATTGCAAATAAAAAATTATGAAAAATTAAGTACAAACAAAAAAAAACATATATAAACTAAACATTTTGACTTTAAATACAAACAAAAAATCATATATAAACTAAACAATGATGAAAAATTAAGTACAAACAAACTAACCATATATAAACTAAACATTTTGATTAACAAAAAAAAAATCAACTGAGAATTGTGATCTTTCACAATAAACTTGAATATAACAAAAAAAGTTTTCATTCAACCAATCCAAATATATTTTTATTTCGTAGCTTAACAAAGTCGAATTGTTGATTTAGTCCAGCTTTAAAAACACTGCAAATGACAAGAAATATACACAGATTATATGTACGATTTTCCTCGAACTAAATGTAGAGTATATGGTATGATCTCACTCAAAAATATCTTATTAAAAAATTAATGTCCATTAAACGTAAAATCTAATTTTGATAAAAGTGTTACAGTGTATTATGGCCATATATATAAAACAAGTTCCTCAAAAACTTAATTAATTAATTAAGATTGGGTAAAATATATGTAAATTTTTATTATTCATTTTTATTCGAACCAAAAATTCAAAGATAAAATCAAATTAAATACTAAAATGTAATCTCTGTAAATAACGAATCTAATCATAAATACTAATATTTTTAATAACATATATTCGATCTAATTTGTTATATATATTTAAATAATTTATATATAATTAACAAAATATTATATTTTATCTAAATTTTAATATATTTTATTGATTATATTATTTATTAAAAAATTTAAAATAGATAATTTTATTTTGTAATAAAATATTATTAAATTATTATTGTTTTTAATTTATTTTTAGTTTTTTAGAATGTTAAATTTATTTACTCAAAATTTTATTTTACATCTTGTGTGGCTCTATTCTAGAGTTTGTTTGAGAATAATTGTAACCAAATAGAACAACATAATATCATTACTCTATGGTTTATTTGTACGAATCGAATTAGATATTTCATCATAAATCTAATTTATTACTCTATGGTTTATTTGTACGAATCGAATTAGATATTTTATTATAAATCTAATTTTTTTAATATCTAAAACTTCGAATATACATATGGTTAAAGATCGAATCAAATAGGGTAAATTAATTTTTCAGATAAACAGATCAAATCACGAATACTTTTAAAATCTGAAAATTCTGTTTTGCTTATCTCTGAAATTAAGAATTTGCAAAATGGACAAATGATATGGTATGGTTTTACTCGAACTAAAAGAACGAGAACTACACAGTATATGACATGATATACTAACACGTGACAACTAAAAATCAGTTATAAATTTGCCTCGCAACGTTAGAAAAGTAATCAAGAACCTAGCTAAGGAAAAAGGAGAATAAATAAGCTGATTTAGGGCTATTCTCGCTTAAGGAAAAGCAAAAGTTTTATCAGTCCGTGCTCTAAGAGAAAAACACAAATACATGAACTCTGATCTTGTCTACGAAGGCACAACAAATATCGATACCTCTATCTTAGTTCTACAGTTCTTTAATTTCAGAAAAGAGAGCCCCCGTTTGTTTGTTTTGAGATTATGCAGACTTTACAACTTTTTTATTTCTAAATCCGAATCAGGCTTTGAGTTAAGTTGAAAACTCAACCGTTGATCATGATGGTTACTTGAGCAGCGAGAGAGTTTCCGGTGGTGGATTGTGACCGGAGCTATATTCCAGTAACATTCCTGTCTCATCCGGTGTTACTATGAACATCTGCTTCCCAATCTGTACGAAATTTATACATTATAATTTCCACAATTCTATACATATAAATAACACACATTATTCATTTATTCTTTGGCAAATTTGATAAACTAAAACATGTATTTCTTTAAAACTTATGTAACTTTACGTATAAAACCTTCTAAATATCTGTAATACAGAATCAATTTATTACATTCATACACATATTTGTGGTGTATATATCCATCAAAAACTCATTTCCTACCGCTACTAAATAAATAAATAGTTACAAGAAATCAATTAAAACTTAAATTTTCGGTCTCACTCGATATTGTCTACCATCTATCGAAGTCCTGAATTTCATATATATGTATATATAAAGGGATTAATTAGCTTATACACAATAGAGTGTACCTCTGTTACCCGTCTAGCGAGAACCAGGTTCTCTTCTATCAGCAACTTCTCCTGTATAGGTGTAAGATCACACGCTTATTAGTTTTTAGTTTTTAAGACCATGATTAATCCAGATCACTTATTTGGAGTTTTTAATTCATGATTTGACATTTTTTATATACTTTTCGGTTTGTTCTTAATTTTTTTTAGTTAAAAACTAAGAAACATATCTTAGCGAAAGCTAAAACCCTAATTAATAGACCGGGTTAATCATGGCGTAACAAGTTCTAAAGCTACCGGCAGACATATATATTTCTTTCCAGAATAAAAGAAAAATTTCCTTTAACAATGCTTTTTTTAATTCTCATCAGGCTTTCATTTAAGTGAAGCCAAAACCAAATCAGGAGTCAGACAAAACCAAAAGACAATCTACAGAGCTAAAACTGGTCTAGTGATGTTCTGACAATGTAGACTCCAAAGTTAAGAGGTCTGACAATGGCCGGGATGGCTAATACAAACCAATGCACTAACCTCTTCTCCACGGGTCTTAACAAGCTCCATCATTAATTTTGTCTACAACAGACATTAAATACTTGTGTCAAACCAAAGACATAAACTGAAGTCAGGCAAGGTCCAAACTGCAAAGACTGTTGTTGGAAAACTAAGATTATATGGAAAGAGTAGCTCAATCACTTCCTAACAGCATATATACCTTTGTAGCTCTAGTTACATACAGAGCAGTCTCGAGCTGCTCCTCCAGCGAAATTAGAGAATCGACATTTGCTTCTTCAAGGTTGCTGCATATACATAAGCGAACAAAAGAGACAAATTAACGTTTTTTTTTTTTATCAGAAGAAGAGGGAAAATATGGCGTTTTAGTGCTAACCTTTGCACTAGTTTTAGTAACTCCTTATGTGGAAGATAATTCCGAGTTTTTTCCTCAAGATCCTGCACACGGAAATAAAAAATAAATGGGAAAGGTTGGAAGTCTTGTGAAGTGGGTTTGACACGTTCAAAATAATGAGCGCTTATAATTCGTTTAAGGCACTAGAAACCGATCCAAAAGAAGATTTTAATGAAGATCTTGACTAAGTTACCAAAGTTTTAAAGTCATCAGCTCGTTGTATCTGATAGCGATCGATGATCTTGGACATGCTGGAGATATAAAGAACAACACAAATCAGTAGATGCATTATAGAGAGAGTAAAATGGGCTAGACAGAATGCTTATATATATATACATTATACATTTATAGCATCACCTTGTGCTACTAACATATAGTTATGTTAATTACTTAACCAGGCATATATAAATAGCACAGCTTTAAATAAATCACAATATGTTTATTTAATAGAGTTTTTGTATATTTATATCTAGTAACTATACATATCTTTGCAATGATTTGTCTTAGTTTCACTTTTCCACTACAGGATAAACATGGGTACTTTTTAATTAGAATGTAAATCTGAAACTCCAAAATTTTAGTTTTACTTACTTTTCCATTAAATTAAAATTTCACATGATTATTTTGTGAGAAAAGATAACTTCACGAGTTCATCTCAAACTTCCTTATATATATTAACTTGGCAATCGCTGAAGCCATTGTTTCAACTTAATATAACCTATGCAATGCAATCCAAGTCAATGTGATCAAAATGCTAATCTTAGTTCTTTCAACAAAGTAACAGCTGGCAACATAAATCGACTGGGAAGGTTATAAAAGATATTCCTCGTAACGACAAAATGTCAATAAACTTTTCATACTTAAGGTCTTCAGAAGTTGATGAAAGCAATTTTCTCCTAAATATAATCTATGCAATGCAATCCAAGTCACACTTATTACAGAAGCTTTAATTTCACGAATATAATCAACCGAGATGGAGAACTGAAAACAAAACCTTTGGCTGAAAGATGTAGGATACTCCATAAAGGATTAGCCAGGAAAATGGGTTAAGCATTCAGGGAAGGCCACGACTTCAATCATAATCTTTGTCCATAATCTATTGCAGGAATTCAAATATGAGTTGCACTTTATTTTCCAAGTTCTTAGAAATAAGTAAGTTGTGAGTTACTAATTTAAAGTTAATCACACAAAAAGAAGAAGATATATACACTTAATTATACTTTGAGATTATTCAGTAAAGAAACCCAACTCAAATTAACTGCATGATAAAGGCACAACATCTTGAAGAGCTACAAACTTTGGTTAATTAATCAAGACATATATGTTTTGTATAGTCTCATATGCACACAAGTCACGAGGATTACTACTAAAGGGTGAAAACGATTTCCAATTAGAAGTAATGTAGCATGTGTGGCAAGTACCAATGTGAAGAATGAGCGAAGCACCACAATCAAACCATCTAATCAAGTATAAACCATTGGATAAATACTTAATAAAACAAATCAATCAACGAGAAATTCCAAAACAAGCAATGTACAATAATAAGTTAGGATGAATGATTGCACAATGTTTTGGCATTTGATTTCAAAACAAAGATTCTAGCTCACTGATAACACTAACCTCTCAAGAAATCTACCAAAAATGCAACAATGTACATTGTTCTTATGAAAAAAAATTTCAACAGATGAAGTAGCATGCTTAAAAACTCCATTGAGCAAGTATCACCACGCGTAGAAAATTTTCTGGATCACATGCAATATTAAAATAAAATTCGAATAAATTAAAATAAAATCACTATTAAAAAAGGGGAAAAAAAAAAACGAACACCAAGAACATATATATCTAGGCCACCACTTTGTTTAATCTTAAATTAGGTTTGAGCTTACACACCAGCTGTCGTCATCAAGAAAACAAAGAGACAATCTCAGTTGATTTAAACGAAACGAGAAGCCCTAGATTTTAAGTCTCTATATTGGGAAAGTAACTAAACAAAAAGAGTAAGAAGCAAATTAAACTTGAGTTAGACCAAAAAGAGAAAAGTATAGTTTACTTATCGCCGGAAGAGGAGTTGTAAAGTTTCCCGGTTGCGGAGACGACAAGAACAGCGACTGAAGATTCACAAAGAACCGAAAGCTGTCTAGCTTTCTCAATGAGACCATTGCGTCGTTTAGAGAAAGTGACTTGTCGACTGCTTTTGTTTTCGATTCGTTTGATCTCCACTTTTCTTCTTCCCATTGCTTCTTTCTCCGACAAGACTCTATGCCCTAATTAGAGTTTGATGTCCGGAGACGCTCAATGTTTTTACTTCTTCTTTTTTTTATTTGGTTCTCTCTTTTTTTTTTTGGTTCTTTTTGGTTTTTGCACAATTTTTTTTGTTTTTTTGCTAAACGAGAGAGAGAAAAAATGAGTGAACCAATGCATTTGAGGAAGAGGAAGAGACACGTATGTTTTGTGCATATTTATATACCAGTGAACGACTTTGACTTTTAATCCGACCGGCTTTTAATCCAATCGGTTGGACCGGTACCAATCATGATCACCTCATTTGAAATTGATACACACACTAATGTTTTTCCTAATCATTAATTAAACCGAATAAATTTGAGCCAAACGCCATTTATTTAGTTTGTTCATGACTGCATTTTCCATTCTATATTGCCGTAATGTTAACAGTAGGGTTCAAAATATTTTTAAACATCTCCGCGGTAGAATAATTTCTTAATAAATAAAGTTCTGAATTTAAATTTCTGAATCTTTTTTGTCAACATTTTTGAAGCTTGTCTATTAGTTTAAAAAACTAATTATTTTACTTCAACGTTTAGATCTAATTATTGTATTGTATTAGTTCCTGATTTTACTATCTAAGCTTCTTTTTAGTTAACATTACTATCCAAGCTTCTATATGTTCATCTCAGTTACATAAGCCTTAGATGACAAGAACTGATTCAATAATTGGTTAGCTTAATCAATTCTTGATTTTATAGGTCAATAATTGATTGTCTTAATCAATTCTTGATTTTGTTTACTAAGTTCATTACTTACATGGTTTACATCAATATGATTTTCTATACATATGATTAAATAATTTAATTAAATAATGTTATAGAGTTAAACTATATTATCTATTTCACTAGATTCTTCCATTTGTGCTTTTAAATAACTTGTGTTTTGCTTCTAATCATCGTCCCTATTGCTCCTTCTCTCACTTCGCACTTTTTCTTCTTGTTAGGGAGAGAAATAATGGTCTTGGGAAAGCTTCATGGCTCTTTGATCAAGAGAACAACAAGCATGAGAATGATCACAGACGATAAAGCCACGACCTATGATATTGCATCTCAGCCGTCTGATCATCTAACCATTCATAATCCGACGGTGATGATATCTACTAAGAACGATTATGACTTCTTGAGGACTTGTAGCCTCTGCAATCAAAATCTCTGCCATCGTCGTGACATTTATATGTATAGGTACGATTTTATGTTTATAGTAACCCTTTAAATATCTTTATATTAATATTTGGTTTATATATCTTTATTGATATCGTTTAGTTATCATTTATCTTATATGATGGAAAATGTTGAATTTGTATTGTTTTCGCAGAGGGAACAACGCATTTTGTAGCTTAGAGTGCAGGGAGAAGCAAATTAAACTGGACGAGAGAAAACTGAAAAACGGCGTAGCATCCAAGAAACCCATTCGTATTTGATTGATTATGTATGATCTAAAAATAAATAAATAATTATAATTTTTCCTTACGCGTGAAATCATCATGTTTGCCTTTTGTATATAAGAATAATTATAAAAATAAAATTTACCAAAAACTAGAAAACGAGACGAATTATTGGGGTGGTTCTAACTTCATAAGCATGATAACTGGCTACGAGATGTAGGTAGAGTAATTTAAGTTGATTTGTTCGTGTAATATTTATTTGTAATATGTAATATAGTATCAATGTAAAATTGTGAACCTATATTCAGGTGGTCTTCTGCTTGGTACATATAGTTACAAAAATGAAAATTTAATAAACGTAGTTGTGTTTGAAATAAATAAATAAATAAATAAATAAATAAATGTAGTTATATTATAATATCAGACGGAGACGGACCGATTCTCAAATATTATTAAGGAAATATTATAATTTGTGATAGGGATCAGTTGGGAAATTATGAAATTAAATGTATCGAATCTTGGGTGATGCAAATTGAAAGAATTTTTTTTTTGCTAGTCTCAGAAAAAAATTAAAAGATTTTCCTCTTTTAAATTGGAAATTCCAGTTGGCCGGCTAAATCCTTCCAATATTTTAACATTCAAAGAAATACTATCACCGTCTCAATTTATTTATCATCATAGAGTAGATTTTCGTTTTAAAATAAATGTCATTTTATAATTTTAATAAAAAAATTATTAATTTCATATGTTATATTATTTTTTATTGGTTGAAATGTAGCTAAATGTACATATAATAATATTTTGATTTTGAAAATATGTAATCATAAGATACAGCTGTGTGGAATTATCAAAGATTATGAGCGTGAGAAGTACCGTCAGGAATATATTTTATAAGATAGTTTAGAGTGATGCAGTCAAACATAAATCTTTATAATAAGACATGATTGACTGTAATATCGTCTAAAAAGAAAAAGAAAAATCAGATGTAGATTAGTAGTTCTATGTGGTTAGAGGGCCTGACTCCACAAAATGGGTTCAATTTAAGGTGAATAATGAGCAGTCTTATGGCCCAACTGATAACGGGCCAATAAGCATATCTCTTTCCACGTAGCCTTTTGGGTTAAATCCTCATGCACAACGTTACACTTTACATTGCAACATAGCAGCATTTTTTTAATACTTATTCTTGTTTTGTGTAATGTCAGTGATTTTATGACACAGTCCAAAATGAAATTTTGGTGGGTCCAGTTAAAAGATTTGAAGTTCGATTTTTGATAAGATTTTGGACATAGAAGATGAACACACTTGTTTCACTACCATAATATAATAAAAGATCAATGTATTACACAACACAATGGTTCATTTCTATTGGAGCAACGAGGATATGCACCAAGTCATGATCTCTTCCACCATTATATTATATAGCCCCATAATGTATATTTATACTGAATCTACTGTCTTTTACTATACTTTAAAAGCTAAAGTAAGTAACAAAAGTGTTGTCCTTTGGAATTCTACAATGGATAAATCATAAATCTATGACCACATACTAAGATCTCGAATCATACAACTACCACTAAGAAACTCAAAAGCAATGTGTTATGCACTACATAAACTAATATAATAATCATGATCACCTTCCACCATAAGGATATATATAAATACAAGACTCTTTGTTTCATCAAACATATCCATCAACAAAACATCATCTTTGATTTCTTGATTTTGTAAGAAAGAAAAAAAAATGGGTGTTATGGGGAAGAAACTTAGTTCACTAAAATGCGAAGTGAGAGTAATAGAAGCAAGAAACGTGGAGAACAAGTCACAAGCTAGTACTCTGTTCGTTAGGTTCTATCTCTCAGCAGGACACAACAGAAAGATTGAAGAAAACACAAGAGAGATCTGTCTCAAGTCAAACAATCTCATATGGGACCAATCTTTTGGTCTAGAGTGTCAAGGCAACGAAGAAGCAGTCGAGGAACTGAAGCAACAAAGAGTCGTTTTCGAGTTAAGGAGGAGGAAAACATCATCTTTCTTGAGGAAGTCATCGAGATCAGAGGTTGTAGGGAGTGGAGAGGTGTCATGGGAATCGGTTTTTGAGTCAAAGGGCATGGAGATGGAGAGATTTGTAGTGATGAGTGAATCGAAAACACCGGTGTTTGGAGATGAGAGCCCTGTCTTGTTAAAGATAGGTTTAAAAGTCCAAGCCCTAGAGATAAAGAAGATGTTGATCAACAAGAAAGAGAAGCTTTGTGCATGTTATAATAGTAGAGATTGTGGAAGCTGCAGCTGCTTGGATTACGGCGCTTTTGCTTTAGCTTGTGCTCTAGATTGTATTTAAAGAAACAAATTTTGATTTAAATTAACAAACTCAACATAACATAAATAGTTTGCACAACCAGTTTCACAACTCTTTTATTCAAAAACAAACCAGGAGAAATAAAAGGGGAAATGAAATCATTTTCAGATATCTCCATGTCCGAGAAGAGCAACAAGCATGTCCTCATAATCACCAGAAGTGTCTTTGGCGACAGCACGGTCCAAAGGAATGCTGTTCCTACGCTGATACTCCTCTTTGATGCGTTCCATGTCAACTTCAGTTCTTGTGGTCACCACTCTGGTTAGTCCCCACTCGTCTGTTCCCATTTTGTTGATTGCTAGACGCAGAACCTTCTCGAAATGCTTCTCAGGGTATGTCAAACACGTGATTGAAGCTCTTAGTAGTTTCATGTAATCGTCATCTGAACCTTCCTTCAGATTCTGTAACATTCAACACATAATCAGCTGTCTGAACAACATATTATAAAAAGGGTAATAGTCCTGGGTATATTATCTGAAACCTGAAAAATGAATCGGAACCAAACGGAAAAACTGAAACTGGACAAAAATTTACAAAAACCTGAATGGTTCCTATTTATCTAAACCCGAAAAACCGAAAACAAAACTAAGAACCAAACCAGTACCCAAATATTCAAAATATAAAAACATACTAATTTTTTTATTTTTTATATAGACAAATATAATTTTAAATACAAAATATTCAGAAAACTCCAATTATCCATTTTTTTCTCATCTTTCGGGTTTAACTCGGCTTTTGTTTTTTTCTAGTTTTTAACCTGAAGCAAACCTTTAATTTGAATTCACTTTGGCTTTTATTAAAAATCAAAACCCGACATTATCCAAACCAATCTAATCTGAAAAATGTCCAATTCCCAAATGGATCCTAGACCACCCCATCCCGAATAACCCAAAAACTGATTAATCTGAACCGACCTGAACAGAAAACCCGAATGCCTAGCACTAAAGGGTAGTTTAAGTTGTTACCTTGTTGATGGAGTTTCCATGTTCATTGTTGTAGTGGTTGAGAGTAGCACTGAGCTGTGCTTTGCTTCTTGTAGTCAAGATTCTGATGAAGTCATCATCGTTGAAAGCTTTCTCTGAGACCTTCTCGTGAAGAATCTTAGCTTCAGATCTTGCAAGCATCATGTTCACATCGTCCCCTTCGTACCTGAAAGTGCTAACAAGAGGAAGCAAGAGCTACAAAAAAAAAAGAGAGGACACAAACACACACAAAAGATGTTACAGAGTGTTCTGTCATAAGTATCAAAAAAGAAGCAGACTCGGTTTTACTGAATTGATAATATATACCTTGCGGAGGTCACCAGAAGTGTGTTGAGCAACATCTTCCTCAAGTGATTTCTTGTAACGAGCTTGGTAAGCTTGCTTGACCTTAAAAAGCTCAACAGCAGATCTTGTGCAAGCGATTTCGACAAGAACCCAATTGTTCTTGGTGAACATTTTGGTGGATTCTTTAGCCAAGTAAGCATCTCTCTCTGCTGGATCTAGCGTCCACAACATCACAGCTCTCTGTTACAAAAAATTAACCAAATCTCTTTGTTATATTTTAAAAGAATCGTCGTCCCTTAAGGAAAGAGAGAGTAATATATATATACAAACCTCAAAGTCACTAGAGAGCTCTTTGTCTAAAGCCTTGAGAAGATCCTCATTGTAAGTAGCGGCGTAAACGCTGCGGATCATGCTGCGTTGTGCTGAGTTTCTGTGAGCTAGAATTGATATGATCAGCTTCTCGTTTGTTCCCCATCCTGTTTTCAGAACCAAAACCCAAACTCAAACACTTTTTAATCATTAAAACCATTAGGACACAACACAAGTATAAACGACACTTTCAAAATACTTAAAAGACTTTTGGATCTATAGAATGTAAGAAGAAAGACATTGCTTTTATAAAGAAAAAAAAAAGAAACACAAGATCCTGATCTCGTCTCGTGTCTGAAGAACAAAACAGATCAATGTAAGAAGAGAAGAGATCACATGTCAAACAGTGAACACGAGTTAGATCAAGTAAATCATCCATAATCTCAAAAATGTAGTAGATCGTGACTATAATCAATAATCTAAATAACCCCATGAGTATAAGGAAGTCTAGATTAGGTTACATTCGTAGAAGATGAAACTTTTTTTTTGTTTAGATCAAAAGGTGAGAGAGACCTGAGAAAGCCTTGTGGAGTTGTTCAGCGTCTTCTTCGGGAAGAGGAACATTGCTTGGGACTTTTAGAGACGCCATTGTTAAGGATCAGACTTACTTTGAGATCTCTCTGTGTTTGTGTTTTTTGTTGTTGTAATGAGATGGAAGAAGGCAGACGCACGTCTCTTCACTTTAAATAACGTTACGGGAATCCCAAAAATTACATTTATGAAATAAAGAAAGTAATCTCTAAGCATTTAATATTAGATCTAAAAAAAATACTAATTCAATATGGACACATATATTGTTTTTGTGTTAAAAAAAGAAAAAAAAAACTAACAGCTGGTTTTGAAAAAAATAGAAAATACCTTTTCTATGAAATTTATAATACAACGCATATTTTTTATTTTGGTTTAATGTAAAGGTTAATAATGTAAATGAAAATGAATAAAATAAACCAAGCAATCATTAATTAACTTTTTTTTCCTCAACCCAGGCTGTAATAAAAACCAATACTCAAAAGATATGATACCATAACGAGTCATGTCATAAAGTAAATGATTTATATATGTAAATAATTGAGGAAATGTGATGAAAAACGTGGGCTGGGACAGGAAAAAAAACTTGCGACGTCAGCAGAATGTGAACACGTCCATTAGACTAACTTGGTCAAACTCAAAACTGTTTTATTTTTTGGATTAATTATAAAGTACTGAGATACGATGTGGAAAGCGAGGACGATGATGAGTCCATTGTTTAGCATAATGGCGTTGTTAGTATTGGAATTTAATTAAATACTAGATTTTGACCTGTATATCCGTGCGGGTATTTGTTTCATTTTTAAAAAACATAAATATTATTGTACTAGTGTTAAATGATTATTTATATTGAAATTTGTTTTGTTTTTATTATATATACTATCATCAGTATTAATGGTTGTTTTATATTGAATGTATAAAAATATTAGTAATTTAAGTAATTATTTAAAATTTTATTTATTTTTATGTCAATTTTATGCTATTCATGTAAATTTATATTTATAGTTTTAAAATAATAATTATCCCCATATATATTAAAAAGAGAAGTCACTTTAATGAATTTTGCGTACGTGTCATTCATAGGTGCAAGGTAGAATTAATTCTCTTAATTTGATTGGTTGTTGACATTTGAATTTTTATTTATTTAATTAAAGTTTTTTAAAAGGAAACTAATCCTAGAATTACCTAATCTAATATATATTACCAAACAAACAATTAATCATCTTAAATACATATGATTAATACAATTTGTTTATAGAAACAAATAAATATCACATATTCCATTATAAAAACTTAGAATATACATATAAATACATATTATATTATAAAAATAAGTATATAAACGATTTTAAATTTTTTTCTATTAATAATGGATAAAAAATCATGCATTACAGAAAACTAATAATATTTTTATACTCACTCACTATATATATGTATTCTTAAAATATGTTCAATTAATGCAAAACTGTCAAATGTAATTTTTTTTAAAAAATCTATCATTTTCCAGAGAGAAATCTCGATAGTATAATTGAGTTATTACTTTCAAAATTATTTAAGTATTTTTATATTTAAAACAGAAAATTATATGGTATGTCATTTTAAAAAATATGAATAAATGAAAAAGTTTATTATAATAAAAAATTACAAAAAATCAAAGCATTATATTAATGCATGATTAGAGTTAATATTCTATCTGTATAATTCATATAGCTTTAAGTATAATAAAATTGGCATGTTTATTTTTAATAAGAAAAAAAGAAAAGAGACATAAATAAAAACATGAGTGAATAATAATAATAAAACCTTTTTTTGTATTCTTCGTTATTTTGTATTTGTACATACATATTTTTTTTATTTGTATACCAAAATATTTTTTACGTATCAATATAATTGTAAACTATTTATTTTTAGGTGTTTATACATCATAAAGAAAAATTGAGCAGGAAGATAAATATAAATGATAAGTTATAAAATTGTTAATGTTGAAGATGCAAAATATAACGCAAATTAAATTTAAAATAAATTATTTTAAAATAATGATAAGTATTTTTTTGCGGTGTAATAAACTTAAAATATATGATAACAAAGTTATAACAAAATTTATACAACTAGAAACATGTTATTTTGATATATTACAACTATTGAATCTCATGTTTATATTAATCTATGTCTAAAATAATGACATCATATCATTTAAGAATTAAGATATTTTATGTTATATAATTATTTAATCAAATTTACTTTTTTGAAATACAGTTATTTAGATTTACTTAAAATATGTATGTAATGAAGTAATTAAAAAAATTAATAATATGATATTTACTTTTCAAGAAAAATTTTGGTCAAAGGAATCAATGTTTGATAAGATAGTGTGAAGATTGTAGAGAATGTGATAATGAATTTATTTGGTTAGTCAATCGTGATTTTATATTAAATTCTAAATAATAAAATATGTAAGAAAGGGGGAAAGAGAGGGAGATATGGTGATGATAAGGATTAAAGAGTCGGTTATAATCATAATGAAGATGAAAGTGAATATAAGTGAGAGACTGAATATAAGTGAGATAGATTATGAAATCATTTATTAATATTATATGAAGTGTTTAGAAGATTTAACAAAATATCGTGAAATTTTTGCAACTAAAGAGAGATAGAAAGAGTTTTAAAGTGAAATATTGAGGATCATATTAGGGATGAGGGTAAGCGAATGAATATATATGATTGTGAGAGAGTGAATGTAAATTTGAGATATTTTGAGATTATTTGATCAACTAAGAGAGAAAGAGAAAGAAAAAGAGAGCAAGAGATGTGTACAAAGACATACAAAATAATGCAAAGAGAGATACATAAGAAACAAAACGAATGTGTGAAAAAATACAAGGAGATACGAAATGAGTAAGATAGAAAAATATATTAAAAACAGAGTATCTATGTAAAAGAGAAAGAAAGTTACAATATATATATACATTTATATTATTTTTTATTCATGCAATGTATAGTTTATATTAATGTCCGCACAGGCGTGCGGGCCGTCCACCTAGTATATATTATAAATGGACTACTTAGTTTTGGAGGAGAAATTGATATGTTTTAATATTTATGAAATGTTAAAAATAATTTTACATTGATTTCATATTTATTATTTGTCTTAATTTATATAGGTATAATTAGTTACATGTAAAATTAATTAATATCTTACTTTAAAAGGATTTTATTAAGATATATTGTCATTTGAAAAATCATTAATGCTGATTATATATAAAATTATTTGATTGTATATTTTTAAGGAAAACTGCTAAAATGACAATATACCTCTTTCTTATATCCATGTTTCCAAATATTTTCATTTATACTAATATATTTGTTTCCAAACAACTCTAAAATGTACTTCGGTTTTAATAATGTAGATGTAGCTTGAAAAGAGATGGTTGATATATCTCTATAATATTATTTGAGAAGTCACTTTCTTAGGTGTTGCGCTCACGTTAACTCTCACGCTGGTTGATTACTATGATACCCCTAATGAATTAAAAATATATTTAAATATTATTATTTCCTTTTTAAAATCTTCCAAATAACGATATAAAACAAAAAGGAAATATTTCTAAAATTTACAAAACTATTTAAAAACGAAAAATAAGTATATATATAATATAGTTTCATAAAAAAAGAAAGTTTACAAAATAGTAATATTTAACTTAAATATATTTTTAAATAACATAAATTATACTTTTTAAGTAATTATACTTTATATATATATCTTCTTAGATGAAAAAATATTTGTATATAATGTGTTTTCATAAAAACATTTCATACAAATAATCTTGATATTAGAAAAAGAAATATTTTTTCTTAAAAAAAATAATTTATCTATAATATTATTTGAGAAGTCACTTTCTTAGGTGTCGCGCTCACGTTAACTCTCACGCTGGTTGATTACTATGATACCCCTAATGAATTAAAAATATATTTAAATATTATTATTTCCTTTTTAAAATCTTCCAAATAACGATATAAAACAAAAAGGAAATATTTTTAAAATTTACAAAACTATTTAAAAATGAAAAATAAGTATATATATAATATGGTTTCATAAAAAACGAAAGTTTACAAAATAGTAATATTTAACTTAAATATATTTTTAAATAACATAAATTATACTTTTTAAGTAATTATACTTTATATATATATATATATATATATCTTCTTAGATGAAAAAAATATTTGTATATAAAGTTTTTTCATAAAAACATTTCATACAAATAATCTTGATATTAGAAAAATAAATATTTTTTCTTAAAAAAAATAATTTAAACAATAAAATATATATTTTCAAAGTAATTAGTTTTTGTATATATCTATCTATTTTATTAGATGATTACATAAAATAATTAAGTAACATAAACTGATATATGTTTAATTGACAAAAAAAATTATAATTAGTATATTTATTTGATTATAATATCTTACCGTTACAGCAAAAAATATAAATTATATTTTACTTATATAATATAATTTCTCAAAAACAATCACATCTTTACTGCATATTTTAAGAGATATTAAAAAAAAAATTAAAAATAAATTTAATGATAAACATCTTTTGATCAAATAACTACAAGTCTTTTAAAATATCATAACACTAAAACATCATAAAATATATGTTTTCTTAATAATTTTTTTGATGTTTAATTTTCTGTTTTTATGTTTGTGGAATTTAATATAACCATAATCAAAATACTCAAGAAAATCATAATTCTTTATTTTAAAAATTATTTAAAATAAATTTCAGTTTACCATCCAATTAATCTAAGACATAAATTATTTAAAATTTCTAAACTATTTAATTATTGTAAATATTGATATGTTTTCATAAGCTTCTGAAAATTTATTACTTCTTATGTATGTAATTTAGAATCAGACACTTTAATTTTATTTTTTTCGTTCTAAGCACAAAAAATACTAAAATACATAATCTTACTAAGATATACTTATATTTCTAAGATAACAACCAACATAAATGTAAATAAAAAAATTAATCAAAAATTTAAGATATTTAGAATAAAAAAGATTATAGTTGAATTCAGAGAAATAGATA